TTGATTGCTTGGTGACTACCCCGGTCACAGGTTTCCAATTTGCCCATATGCCTTAAATCCTTTCCCCAGTTTTCAGATTGGAATCTGAATCTACTCTGCTAACCTTGTAAGATTCTAAATTCCCATGTCATGCAAGGGCGTGTTTACAAATTAGCATTTAAAAAGAAGACTACTTGCTTGAAGTTTAAGCTGACACTGTTCCTTTTCCTCTGTGGAAATGAAATTTATTAATCATAATAAAACCATCATATTCTGAAGGTAGAGGTCACCCTGAGGAGAGAAAGTCTATTCATCACAAAAGGAATTTTCAATGCATTTTTCCCAGAAAGTATCTGAGCATGGGTTTTCTCTCCTTTGGAAATGTGTTCATGGTAGTGGCCGTGTTTGTTCATAAGGACTTTTATCCAGTCATTTGCAAAATTGAGAATTTACCTTTTTTATTTTAAAGCAACATTTGTTGTGTTTTATGCTTGTTTGAAAAAAAGATTCCTTTTTCCAAAATGCTTTGTATACAAATATAAACTAATGTGGGAAGGTTTGTTCTTGTCTTAAGGTGCACTCTTGTCTTAAAGTGCATCTGATAGTGAGATTTCTAGTTCCTATAAATCCTTTTGGTGCCTAAAACTCTCAGCTGATGTATTTGTTATTTTCACATAGTAGAAGTGTGGAGGGTTAGAAGAGATTGGCTTCATTATAAAGCTTATTCTTAGTTCCAACAGTAAAATAAAAAATCTGAATAGAAGCTCAAAGTAAACTTCCTTAAGATACAGTGATTTATAATTAATGGAAACAATTATCTGATCAAGTTGGCATGTCATTGTAGGATGAAGAACATATCCCAACTATATACAATAGGGTCAATAATTGTGCTAAGGGAAATGCTCTCTACTTTATGCAAACCACTGATAAGATTTTCTTTTGGAAATAAATAACTTAGCCATGATGGTGCATGCTTTGTACTCATCTTACCCCACTACATATTGTAAATGCTGTATGTGTTGTGTTGGCTTATGCATATTTTTCTTTGTGATCTCCTGCTCCCTATATGGTGTCTACACTATTAACATTATTTCAAAAGTGATGTAAGCATATGATCTTCCATGGTAGTTTAGCTAAATTCACAGATATTGTAATGAGGATTGGGAGTTGTGCCTTCTCCTTCCTGACTTCTAAACTAAGCCTCCCCACATCTCTGTACCCACAGCATTCAGTTGATCTCCCCTGGCTATAGCATATTTTTGGCTATCATAAACTTAACATATTTGTGAGGCATTGTAATGTGTCCGTGGTGATTCTCTAAGATGGACCGCAATGTGGTATCCGAGTTGAACTTTACAAGCAGAGAATGGGGCAAGACAGTAAAGATGCCTCTGAAATTTGATGAATTTGTAAGTATCAGGCAGCACTCCTGTACGAACAGGGCACGGAACAACTAATATGTCACACAAGCATAAGGCCTCACCTTCTGTAAATGGCCTTTATAGATTTAAACTTGCATTCGCTGCTCTCAATAGTAGTGATATCAGCTCAGAGAACCATTAAATCAACAGAAAAGACAAACTTGTGCCTCTCTCCCTGAAAAGATAACTAAAAATAAAGCAGAACTGTGGGTGGTAACAGCATATAACATTTTCCTTTTAACATAGTTATGAAATTTAAGGATGTAGATGTTGTTGGGAATCAGCCTAGTTTTTTACAAAGCATTATTTCCTCTTTCTTGCTTGGTCTAGATTGGAACCTATGGCACTTTTATATTTGGCTACAGTAAATCAAAATTATAAAGAAACTAAATGTTCAGATTTTGCAATTTTGATTTTCAAATGACTCTGTTCCAAAGACTGGCTTGTGACTATCTTGTCAGCAACAGCTCCAATGAGCTAGCAACAGAGCAAGTAAGTCAGTAAGGCGACCTAACCTGAGCATTCTCTCTTATCTATTGTGTTCCATGAGAGCTGCTGGGTATTGAATCCTTGGGAAATTCTGTGGTTGTCTTTAATTTCCATAATTGGGAGCAGATAAGTACAGAGCATGCTTTAAAATCTGGCTAGTGACATCTGAATCTGTTTAAAGCCAGTGACGTTGACATAAAATTCAAATCCCTTGCAGGTGCATATGTCTGAGGCAAAAGTGCTGCTATTGTGCTCTGTACACAGACTCCTTCTACATGTTAGTCTTAAGGCTCACATTGGGGAAAGAAGTCGGAAGTTAGCCACCTGTAGTTCTACTTGCTTTGAGGAGTATGCACTTCAGAAGGCATGGCTCTGGAGGAAGTAGTATGACCCATATGCACAAGCATAGGAGCTATTCTCAGCCAATGGAGATGTGCTTACTGCAGCTCCGATTGGCTGGGAGCAGTGATCTACAGCCTACAGGACCTGCAGTCACTCCTACCTGTGGAGGTGCAGGTAAATATAGTGGCAACATCTTACTAGGGGCTAGCCCTGGGGAACCAGCTCTGGTCCACAGTATGGTATTTGCTTTCCCCAAACTATATGCTTTATACTCATAGGCTATGTCTACACTGGCCAGTCTTGCACAAGAACATATGCAAATGAGGTGCGGCGATATATATGAGCTGCCATTTTTGCGCAAGGGACTTATGTGCAAGAAGGAGCCGTCTACATGGCTCCTTCTTGCACAAAAACCCCCTTGTGCGCAAGAGCCATTCTCCTTCTTGTGCAAAAGTCCCTTGCGCAAAAATGGTGGCTCACTTGCATATGTTCTTGTGCAAGATTGACCAGTGTAGATGTAGCCATAGAATCTAGTTGTTCTGATTCCAGATGTTATGCTAGATAATCCTTTAAATGGAAAAGTGCAAAGGTTCTGAGTCAACACGGCAAAAAGCTGAACACTGACCCATTCAGTGTTTCTTTAGATTGAAACGTTCTGGTTTTACCATAGAAAAATGTTAAGAGTCATAGTCTACCGGAAGTATCTTGAAATAGCTACCCTACGTCTTAACAAGCTGCCTGTTATTACAAAATATTTTTTTAAATAACGAGCATGCTATTTCGACATCCTTGTAACCTTCATTCCTTGAAGGTTAAGGGATGTCTGAAAATAGTGCGTTATTTTGAAATTTGGCACTACATAGATGCGCCAAATTTCAAAATCAGCTATTTTAAAATAGAATCGAAATAAGATACGCAGTTTGCATAGAGCAAATTGCGTACCTTATTTCAAGTTTAGGGTGCTGTGTGGATGCAGCCACAGTGTTGGTTTTATATTTGCAGAGGTTCTAAAGATAATCAAATAATTAGTAGATCCAAGAAGTATCAACACTGATTTTGTGTCTTCATTTTTTCATTTTAGCCAAAGATTTTTTTTCATCTTATGAAAATGGTAAAGGCTAATTTTTCTAGTGTCTACTAGCTGGATATCTTTCAGTCTTTCAGTAACCAATATCAAATAGCTGGGGCCTAATTTTTGGAAGTGTGAGCACCTACCATTCCCATTGAGGTCAAACCCCTGACAGCGCCAATTCCTGTGGAAAATGAACTATTGGCTCTAGAGCCATTCTTTCAAGTCACTCTGGATTAGTGATGATTGTCAGGAAGTATCTGTGATCAGTATACTTCAACTGGAAGGAAAACTGAGCATTTTGCAGAACATCTCAGAGTGGTGGGAGGACAGACTCTATAATCTCTTACATAAACACAAATTAAAATTTTCAGTTTGTACTTACTGAATCTCCTTCTAATTCTCCCATCAAGGGAGTGCAGTGACTTTCCATGTAAAGGACAGGATGTCCCATCCCCCTGTAATCCATAGATCCACAATGTTCACCAGAGGGGACATCTGTGTGTCAGCCTTCTTCCTCCTTTATTGTGGCCCACCACTTCTCTCTTGCTTCTGGATAGGATGGCTGTCCCAGAAACTGGGCTGCTAGGGGCTTCCCCAAATGTTCTGTCCCAGATACTCCCTCTTTTATGAGCCATAGTTATGTGGTCTGGAGGATAGAGCTTGCCCTGTTTGCTTCAAGTTTGGTTGCAATAGATGGGGAAATCTGCTTGAAAAATACCAGCCCTCCCTTGGAGAAGGAACCCATAGAAGTTTCCCCTAGGTTGTAGGTTCCAAAGTGAGCATGCTGCAGTGACAGCTCTCCCTACTTCCCCTCAACTGATTACACACAAACCAATTTCTTCCTCTCATGGAAAAGAAAAGAGAGAGTCTGAGCCCAAAAGAGAGATAGGCACCTGTCAAGAGTCTCCAAACAACGCAAGTTCATATTTGTGCTTAGAAGTAAAATATTGAATCTCTCACGTCCACAACAGAATTCAGCTAGCTCTTAACTTTAACAATTGTGCTGAAAGATAATAATTATTATTAATAGAAATGTTTTTGTATTGCAGTAGCCTCGGTGTACAAGCTACAGTAATGTTGAGTTTTTGAGTGACGTGTTGATCAAAGGGATATTTCTCAGGGATGGAATGCAACTAGAGTAATTTCATTAATGAAAACCAATGATTAGGACAGAGGCTGTAGCCATGAACAGTGCTTACTCAGTAAGATTAGAACAAAGCTATAAAACAAAGCCAGGGACTTGATAAAAATATATGTGAGTTTGTAAAAAGAGGGGAGAGTGAGAAAAGTTCAATTGAGAACCCTATATTTGATTCACCCCTGCAGTATGTTGACTTGGATATTTACGGAACTCTGAACAGCCATCATGAGTTGGGAATAGGCACCTCCTCCATCTTTTATTTCAAGAGTCTGAGAATAAAGAGCCAGCATGCTCCTTTCCTAAGGAAAAATAAACATCGAGATTTTTCTACAGCCATCCTTCTTAGCCCACGCGTGGTATAGTTCTTTAAAGCTAATTAGATTTTTACTTTCTCCATTAACATGTTCCAAAAGATATTACTTCTGAAAATGTAGTCAGTTTATTACTCATATAATTGGATAGAATGGAATGTTTGATTTTGATCAATTTGTGACTATTGTCAGTATCTTGTTTTGACATCCATTTTTATTAATCTTCAGCTTTGTTTTCTTTTCAG